AAATAAAAAAATCCAATAATGATGGATATGTTAGATAAAATAAATCTACGTTCCAGGTTGACCATTCAAATCAAGAGTAACTGGGCCTTTATATTAGGCTTGGCCCAAGCAATGTTGGGCAACAAGAAACAACTGGTACTGGACCTACCACTAGACCATATTAGCATGCCTTGTGGTTAGCAGTAATTACACAAGGGGTTAGTGTTGTATGCTTTAAATTGTAAAATACATTTTTAATTTTTAATTGCTATGATTAACAAGCAGGAGAGCTTCCAATTTGCTTTTTTACTATGACCAAGGGTGTATTTAGGATTATGCTTGTTGGATTTTTTTTTTATAGTTGTATCATATATTTAAATATATGTATATTTAACAATTTTTTAAAATTGCACTTGGGCCTTCGAGTCCAATGATACGAGGTCATGTATAAATGCATTTTTTCACTCCCAGGACAACGGTTCAAATCCGATCCCTTGCGAATTTGTTAAAAAAAAATAATTTTTTAAATTATATTTTTTATAAGTTATAAAAAGTTATAATATATTCATAATAATTATATATATAAATTTAAAATTCTTCTTTTAGTTGTGATTTTTATGAATCATTCTTAATTCTTAATATAATTATAAAATTATTTATTATAATTCAATTTTATTTAATTCAATTACATCACTCTTTATAATATTTTATGGTTCAGCATTCAATCCAGGGATCACACGTGGTGACATCATGGCCTTTAATTGAGCTTACCAGCTTAAGTCAAATTGCCGTTTCCTCGAGAACAATGAACAAAGAGGGCGCGAACTCCATCTCTCTCCCTCAAAATCTCTTCACAAATGGGCTTATCGTCGCCAACCAGGTAAGTTTTTTTCATCAGTTTCCAAATACCCACAATTTTTTACCCACAAATTTCCATTCTTCTGTTAGAAAATTTCTTCTCTTTGAGCTCCAATTCTCATTTTACATAACCGGTTGTTTTACTCAGTGCGTGCAGTTTCTTAAGGACTCAAATCCTGTAGCTTGAATCTTCGTTTGTACTCTGATAATCGTAGCTTCAATGGATCTTTTGTTCTGTTTCCTAGAAGAGCGAGCTTTAATTGCGAGAAATTTTCTGTATGCTGCTCTTCTTTATCTTCTTGATCATCTTCTCCTGGTAATGTTTACGAATTAATCTCATGAAGATTTTTTTTTTTCCATTTTTTGTTTAGTTTAACCAATTGCGTTTTGTTAAATGAATCTGATAATAGGATGTTTTTTGTTTCTTCTTTCTGGTTTTGGTTGATTTTTTTTGTTGTTTATGTTGTTACTGTAATTTTTTAGTTTTCAAATTAAATGGTCATTTGATTTCTTTGACTCATTAAAGGAACCTAGGGAGGAAAAGACCGAGCGTGAGTCTCTTTGTTGGTGCTTGGTGAATTGTGGTGTATAGTTTGGCAATGATGATACATGTGGAAGGGATTTAGTTGGAAGTGAATGCTTTAGTGGGGAGCTGAATTCTGTGAATGTGGCCACTCGAAATTATACTGTCATGTCACGGAAGATTGTTGACATGAGACAAGCAATCTTATGTTGAACAATTGAAAATCCAACCAACAAGAGTTTAGCAGAGTTTGTACCCACTAATTACAAAGCTTTGATTTTGAGTCAAGTTTAGGGGGTTAAACCTATGCAATGTGTAACTGCTATGGGGCTAACATCCAATGTGCCATAAAAAATTGAAAATTGAAATGGGTGAAAGGTAGACCAGAATCAAGTTTTGCATGTTGAAATAGGTTTGGTTTATTTTAAAATTTTGTGTTTCTAGTAATGTTTAAAGCATCAATGGTGCCTTGTTTAGAAATGAAAATTGTTTGCAAACCCTAACATCGAATTGCCTAACATTTTAGGTTGAACGTCTTCTCCGAGTCACAATTTGCAAAAACTGCATATGTTCATCACTTATATGATTTTGAAGGATCGCAATTTATTCTTAATGTGATGGGTTAGATTATTGATCTTATGGTCTTTGATGGTTTTGTTTAGAAGAAAAGTTCAATAAAAAGCCTATCATTGGAGCGGGTTACATATTCTCTTTATTGTCATTTGTATGGTATTCAGACCCACTGTTAGTTAAGGATGCAAGAGGGGAACCTATAAGTCAGCCTCCAGCATGGATGATGTGCCAAGCAGGAAGGTATATGGCTGTTTACAGAAAGCTTGCAGAGAAGTACCCATCCTTCAGAGAAAGGTCAGAGACAAATGATCTTATTATGAAAATTTCTTTGCAGCCTTGGCGTCCGGATGGAGTAATAATTTTTTCGAACATACTTATACCGTTTCCTGCTTTTGGTGTCCCATTTGACATTGACCAAGTGAGAGGCCATGTCATTCAGAAACCTATTTTTTCAGAGGAGCGCTTGAAGGCATTGCATCCAATTGACCTGGAGAAACGTCATTTTGTTGGGGAGTCCCTTAAGACTTTAAGTGGCACCATTACAGCCAACATGCTTTCAAAACTTGTAAAGGGTAGTGGATCTCAGGCACATATAAAGGGTAGTGGATCTCAGCCAACATGCTTTCATTGTATAATATTTTTTCAAATCTTTTTCTAGTTGCTGGTTTTTTATGAAATTAGGGTAGTGGATCTCAGGCACATATAAAGGGTAGCTGTCGGTTTAATCTTTGTGGGGTGATCTGGTGCATGGACAGGTAAGAAGCCGTAAATTTTATGTTTATTTTTATCTTTTGTGTGTGTTTTCATTTTTTCTTTTGGATTTTAAACTCTTGTATCATGCTATGATTAGAATTGCTATGTAAATGTTGTGACAATAACCTTTGCATATTATCACAAAATAAAAATTGTTATGTTGGGTGTATTGTATTAAATTATATAATTAAAAGAGTTAGATAATAATTCAGCTTTTGATTTTAGGGGCTTATTATATTTAATAAATTATATTTTATAATATAATATAATTTGAACATTAAAATATAATTTTTTATCACAAAAGCTATGTTAACATGTGATAATTTTTTTGAAAAAATTGTGTATATGTAAAATTACTAAAAATATAATAAAAAAATATTAATTTAAAGTAAAAGCAATTCCGAATGCAGGCTAGTGGGTGAATAAGTGTTGGATAAATTGATGATTATTTTATTAATTACTTAGCTGGATGGTATGTTGTGTTTTTTGTAAACTTAGAAATCAGATAAAAATTTTTTTCTGCTTGCTAAGATTGAAATAAAATGTTTGTTCCTAATGAAATCAGAATCTCTTAAACAAAATATGTGCCTTAGCATTTACATGTTGTATATATGTTTCCAAGTTGCATATATTGAAGAAAGGTATTAATGAGATTATATATCAGTCTTATTCATAAACTTTTATTTAAACTCTGAATTGTATATACTTTATTAATATATATTTTTGCTTATTGATGGTATTTTCTACAAGCATCCTACAATTAAGAGTCCATGAAAGGTGGAACTAAAGATGACCCAAAGACACATCCTCGGAGGAGGTTTCTCTTATCATGGCTGAAGTAATTGCTTGTTCTGTTGACTTTGATATTCAAGTACCTAATTTGCTGCCAAAGCCAAAGAGTTACTGTTGAAATGTGAAAAACGTCTTCACCTGCTGTCATTAATATAGGATTGTCTTGATGAATTATTTCTTTTCATCCCTTCTGGTGATGTGGAGTTTGTTTCAATGAAGGTCTCAAGAAACTCATCTCATTTTTGGGACCAGAAACCCAACAAGAGAGGCTCAAGACAATCCGGAAAATTCGTATGGTAGATTTCCATATTAGTTGTGGAATGTTTGCAAGTATGGATCAGGTATTGATGCAGCAATCACGGGCATAAATGCCTCCTCCCTTGATGTAACTCCAGGTGATTCCTTATGTACCTTGCTCTAATTAGTTCACGAATGTTTTCTTTAGGAGTTCTTCTAATGGTCTAATTAGGTTGAGTAGCTATTGGCTACATGCTTTCTAGGAAACAGTTTAAACATATAGAAGAGTTCTTTTCCT